GCAGTCAAATAAAATGTTAGCATAAGAGAAAGTGTAAAGTGTCACTTGGCTTATTACATATTAAGGAAAATTTCTTATTCCACTCTGTCACACACCTGCAAATTCAGAAACCTCAGCATCGAATGTCCCCCCCAAAATTTGTCAGTTTTAATTTGTTGTGATTAGTTTTTAGTTTTCATTCTAAAACGAAAACAATTACAAATTTTGGTGCGTTTGCAAAGGTTGCATTAATGTTTTTACTTTACATCAAGACTAAATAAAGCTCTGTGGGCTTTTTATCGATACAATAAAAGGAGGAAACAAACTCTCTTCGGAGGGTATTTGAGTCTTAAACTTGAATCGTTTCTCGCAGCAGCAGGAATCAGAGTCTGAAAGCTGCCAGCTAGTTTCCAACACAATGAGGCCACTGTAATGGGAGACACTGAACAGATGGCCCTGGTGTTTCACTGGGATGCTCTCTGCACATTGCAGTGTGTTTCTTAAACTCACTTCATATCAAGCTCATTGGGTGTGTTGCAGGTTATTGTTAATTTTCCATAGCAGGAAATAAACTGGTCCCTTAATGGTTTCAACATGAAATATTCAAACACAAATATCTGGTCCACTGTTTGTGTGACTGAAGTTCCTCTGTGTGCATGTGGAGACATCTGATGTTAAATCAGAACATGAACAGGTTACAGGTGACATGAAGAACATTTGTCAGCCTCATCAGCTTCCTCTCTCTCAGCCCTGCAGGATTTTTAGCCTCCCATCTCCCTGCACCACTTCTTCTTTCTGTGGTTTCCTGCTGATCTGAGGACAGCTTATTGTAACTGAGTTTCGGCTCTGCGGGCTCTCCTGGTTCCTCTTCAGACTGCGACAGACGTCAGGGATTAAACACGATCATATTTAACATCAGTTTAACAGGGAATCATGGCTGAGTTCATCACACACGTCTTTAAAACACTTCTGTTGGATCCATGAAGGGCTGTGAGGTCACTAACAAACACATCTGTGGTTCCTCCACACTGACCTCACACCTCCCAGCTCCTGATTGGCCACTTCAGTCACATGTCAGAGTAAAGGCCCTGTCTCTCAGCCCTGTGTCTCCATCTAGCTGTTTATTATAAATAAAATGTGTTTATGTGGCACTTACCACAGATAAAAATCACAAAGTGCTTCACAATAATACCACAATAAAGCCTCAGTGCCTGAGAAGCCAACAGTGGGACCAACAGTGACCTCTGACCTGCAGACCTGAGTGCTCGGGAACAAGCACGAGGTATCCACAGGTCAGAGACACACTGATGGCTCAGTGTTTATAATTTCATTATTATTATCCTTTGTTTAATATTACAGCTATAATAACAGCAAAGTGTCTGTATTACATTTACAATAAAGTCTGAATAAATGAAATAATAAAAAATGAATCCACAGATGCACAGTTCATTATTTAAGCACAGAAGTCTTCGTTTTAATGACTCCCGCAGATATCACAGATTCTCATGTGTTGATGTAAATGGAGAGTCCTCTTCACACACTGAGGTTACACCTCGCTCCAAATGATTATGTAAATTGTATTTAGGTGTTACACAGATTACATATGTTGTTTTTCAGTTAAACCCGTGGATGGCATTGTGTCTCAGGACTCTCTGGGTCACTGACATCAGTCTCAGGCCCCTGTGATCATTAGTTTGCCAGCTCAGCCCAATTAAAGGATAAACTACTAATAAGGATGTTCCACATTATTAAGCAGGCCACCATTTTCAAGCACCATGGGAAAGAAAATTATCTCTCTGCTGCTGAAAAGCATGAAATAATTGGATGCTTTGGACAAGGAATGAAAACCTTGTCCAAGTGTGATCACCATAATGTTAAGAGATTTGTGGCTGAGTCCGAGCACACACGGGTTCGTCCAGATAAAGGCACTGTTGTGGATAGGCGTAGCTTTGGGTCACGTGGTGTCGGTATTAGTAACAGTGATTGCTATATCACCTGTTCACGGCCCGAGGGAATTTTTGTGAATGAGTGGGTGATGGGGGAAGTCGACTTTTGCTGACCGCTCAAGCTTGGAATGTTTTGATCACTGTTTTTCTGGATTTTAAGGATTTGATAACAAATAAAGGAGTTTTAACTTGGAACTTTGACTTACGTTTTAAACGCGTCAACATTATTCCCCTATTCAGCTGCTCGGCGACTCAAAGGCTCGACAGTCGCCAATATTTGTCAGCAAAAATGTGCGACGGCAATGGAGCGTCCCGCAATCAGCGCTGAATAAACGCCGACGCGAGCCCACACACCACCGCCACTACACCCGTAAAATCGGCTAGACCGACAGATAAGGAGACGACGGTGGTATGTAAACTGTGTTTTTGTGCTGGTGTTGTTTGTTTGAACGCAGTTTGGATTCTGACCACATGAAGATGTTGTTGTGACACGCCCACCGCTACGTTTGGTTTGGTGTGTGTGTGTGCTGTGTGTGTTGCCTTTGTTTTGGATTTTGGCATGCTGCTTATGTTGAATGCTTAAAATGAGTGGATCACAGGCTGCATCTGTTGTTGGAAAAACTGAAAAGGATAAAAGAATAACTTCCCTCACTGAGAAAGCTCTTGCAAACAAAATCGAAACCATCCAAACAGATCGGAAAAGGCATGTAAACAAAATGAGAAGTGTTATTATGTCTCTTAAAGAGCTAATGACAGATGATAAAAATCATTCACAAGTTAAATCACAGTTTGAGTTAACACACCTGTTTAAGGATGCCAGTGCATTGCATGAATCTCTGCTTTCTCTAATCTCATTTGATGAGATTAAAACCCTTTCTGATTCTGATTTGATGAGAAAGAAACAAAATACATGGTTCTCAAGCATCTCTAAATACAATAAAGGGTTTATGGAGGATGTTAACATATGGCTTTCTGAAACTGATAAACGTTCGGAGAGGCCATCACCTCACAAAGCAGAGCCACAGGAAACTTCCCTGGGAGGAGAAGTGGAGGTGCGAGAGCACACTGGAAAAGAACCTCAATCACCTCTCAATCCTCAGAATGATGTTAATGATGACGTGTTGCCATCCGACAGTGTGTCAAATCAAGGCAGTAGGTCAAGATTATAACAACCATTCAAAAGCATTTAAGATTATTGATTTAACTCAACAGTTTAAAGTGGTTATAACTGCACCTGTAATAAAGGCTATATTGCAATGATATTGCATTCAGATGTTTAAACATCTGAATGCAATATCAATATTAATTATTAATGCAATGGTAATGATGATGATTATTAACAATAGCAGAAAAATATTTCTCTAATCCCCACATCAGTCAGACAACTACAGCTCATTCAGAACTCTGCTGCTCGAGTCCTCACTAAGACCAAAAAAGTGGACCACATCAGTCCAGCTCTGAGGTCTTTACACTGGCTGCCTGTCCGTCAGAGGATAGACTTTAAAGTTCTGATGCTGGTCTATAAAGCTCTGAATGGTTTAGGACCAAAATACATCAATGACCTCCTGACCCAGTATGAACCTTCCAGATCCCTCAGGTCATCTGGATCCGGTCTTTTATCAGTTCCCAGAGTCAGAACCAGACACGGAGAAGCTGCATTCAGCTTTTATGCTCCTTATATCTGGAACAAACTCCCAGAAAGCCTCAGATCAGCTGAAACACTCAGTTTATTTAAATCCAGGTTGAAGACTCACCTGTTCTCAGCTGCATTTGAATAAAGCACCAAATCTGCACTGTAACAGAACTACTGATTGTATCTACTGTTCCTTTTTTTTCCATTTTAAATCATGCTTTTTATTTGTTTTTATTTTTTAATGTCTCTGTAAAGCACTTTGAATCACCTTGTTGTTGAATTGTGCTATATAGATAAACTTGCCTTGCCCTGTCTACTTTCAGTAGAAAATCGTATGTGCTGTGTTCAATGCTGTGGAAAAACGGGAAATAGAAAATCGTGATTGGTCAGAATTAGCCTGTGATAACTTGATAAAGGTGGGCTTTTACTTTAGTTTATTTAAATATTTAGTTTTGAATTTATCTGCATTGAAACTGAACATAATTTTTCTCACAGGCAGTGTTTTTTTAGGTAGTCGTTGGAGAGGGAGGTTGGCTCTGGCCCCTCAGGCCCACCCACAAACGCCTCTCTGGGTGGTTCCTTCCCTCTTCCTGAATTTCCTGGAGTGGGAGTGGGAGTAAGTGGAGCTTGTTGTGTGAAGAAACTGTAAGTTTGCTTTGTTTCCTCCTTTAACAGTTTGTCTTTAGCAACTTTACTGTTTGTTCAGCTCATGTTGGATTTCTTCACACAACAAACTGTGTTTGTATTTCCGGTCTCTCCATTAAAGTCAGTGTGTAATGTTTTCCTGGCTAACATCAGCTGTGTGCAGCTTAGTTCCAGCGGTATTAACACCCCTAATGCCGCATAACTGCCGTCATCAAGCAAAAAGTAATGTCTTCGTGTTCTTCTATACATTTGTATCGCTACGTAAAGTGCCATAAAACTCGGTACGCTTCAGCTGCCCGCCATTTTTTCGAAAAAAAAAAAATCCCCGGCCCGCTATGAATCCCGTGATAGGATGTGCCAAGAAGTATACACTCCACCCATGCTTCAAATCCGGGTGCAAGGAGAACGCGTTTGAAGCAGCGTTAACTGTTACGTAGTTAGCTTAGCTAGCAGAGCAGCTAGCAGTCAGAGTATGAACTCTGTAAGCAGTCAGCTCGGTCCTGGACATTGTTACTGACATAAAGCTGCTCTCTGCAGCCATGTTTGACCCGCTGCTTTGTAGGACTACAGTAATGGAGGATTTGGAGGCTGAACTCGATTCTGTGACACTTTTTGTAGTGAACTGATGAAAGCTGTGTCTCAGATGGATGTTAGTCCAACCCATCAGACACGACCTCTGCAGCTCTCATGTGCACATGAATGATTTGTGTTTCCTCTGCAGGTAGAAAGTGTGTGTGAGCTGAGCAGCATGGATCAGTGTGAGGACAGAGAGGAGGGAGCCCCTCCCTCTAAAAGCACTCTGTGTGGGGAACATGAGAGCCAGACCAAAGCTCAGAGGTGAGATGACCATCTCTAACTGTCCATGACTCTTCTCCATGTCACAGCTCAGCACTCACATCACTGCTCCATCATTATTCACAGGAACCAGCCTGGACCTCCACCCAGCTCTGGGTCCTGTAAATGGTAAATGGTAAATGGCCTGCATTTGTATAGCGCTTTTCTAGTCCATAGGACCCCAAAGCGCTTTACACTACATTCAGTCATTCACCCATTCACACACTGGTGATGGCAGCTACATTGTAGCCACAGCTGCCCTGGGGCGCACTGACAGAGGCGAGGCTGCCGGACACTGGCGCCACCGGGCCCTCTGACCACCACTAGTAGGCAAACATGGGGTTAGTATCTTGCCCAAGGATATTTGACATGCAGCCCGGAGGCAGCCTGGGATCGAACCACAGACCTTCTGATTAGTGGCTGACCTGCTCTGCCACCTGAGCTACAGCCAGAGTGACGTGTTGATGGATGTCATTAATATATTTGAACAAATAGTTATCTGACAAAATTACATTAAGTTCTTTATGAAAATGTATAAAATTTTATCCGTTTTTACAGTTCATATGTGAGGATATGGAGAAGTGTGAGGGCCACATTAACAACAAATTGTGATTGATCATTTTGAGATTGAAGTCAAAATGTGGAAATTACATTTTTTTAGTTTGAGACAAACTGCCATGGCTCCTATCTGGTCGTTAAGTGATGACGTGACGAATCCTACTTCCGGGTCTAAAGTAGTCTGCGTTTAATATGGCTTTTTTAAAACCTTAGGATGTAACTGCAGCCCAGCCCATGCAGCAGTATATGAATGACTAACCTCGTATTGTGGATGGATTATCTCAGTTGTTCTCCTGGCTGAAGTTTGGTCCTTTTACAGCATCCTGCCATGCGATTACATTTGTTCCTGTCCACCGAGAACACTCACGTTAACTTTTATCCAGTGGAAAAAAAGTTAGCTTGTTTATATTATGCTAACATAGCTGTGTCGCTAGCGGTCACGTAGCACATCATTATATACCAGCTAGCCAAACTTCAGTAACCCTACAAACGTCACTGCTGTTTAGTTTTCTGTCTTCATTTATGCTGGAAGTGATAACAGAGCTGTACGTTTTAATTTGTTTCCAAAACCCCGCAGTCAGGACATGCTATATTGTATTTAGATAGAAGCTAGCGAGCTAACTCCCTGCTAACTTCTAACTCCGTTAAATGTCATAAATTCCGTTTTCATGGATGCCTGGATGTTAAACTCAATTGTTACACCTGGTAGAGCAGAACGCTGATCATTTTATTAAAGATGAAAGACTTTAGACAGTTTTTCAACTCTCAGTAATGCCATAGTGATCGTTTGATATATGGACCTGCAGCGGAGTTTAGACCCAGACATGGCTAGTGACGTCAGACTGAACAACCGGATAGTCTATAAAATGATTTTGTGTAGATGAGTTGGTGAAATCATTCTTCAAACTTGCAAACTTGAAATGTATATATGTATTACTCGATGGCTGATTAATTTGTTTCACTTATCTACACATTTAGTTGTAGAGGTTATATGAGCTGTGGTAGTTGTTTGGTTTGTAACAAATGTAATCTCCACATATTGACTTTTTTTCTCAAAGTGGGCACTATTTATTTATTTATTTATTTTTTTCATCATACAGTGAAGCTTTATGATGAGGCTTTATTGAAAATTTGAGTTTTTATTTTTAGGATCCATCAGAGGCTCAACCCTGAATCTGAACTCAGCTGTGTGTCCTTAAAAAGTCACTGGTCAGCAGATCGTCCCATTAATTTTAAAGTCCAGCAGGCGTCTGCTGCAGAGAGGTGAGCTGTTAGTAACATGAACTCTTTGATATCAGTTTGGTGTCTGATTTAAATGAACTGTTTGATATTGTTTCCTGGTCTGACCTGCTTGGTCAAAGTTCAGCAATCAGAATACAAGGGCAGCTCTGTGAATTAGTCTAAATATTAGACACAGTGAAGAAAGCTTTCAACTTTTATTTAATTTTTAAAGAATATAAAATTAATTCCTTTTTTGGTTAACAGCTGCTAGTCTGTCCAGCAGCTTCTAAAGACTAAAAAGTGTCTTTAATGTTTCATTTCATGCTGATCTTGCTCTTTGTCCACAGGATCCATGAAAGATTACACTCACCTGAACCTGATCTCAGTGGTATGTCCTTTAAGCGTCATCGGTCTATGGATCCACCATTAAACTTTAAAAAATGGGGGATTTCAAAGACAAAGTGAGTGAACATCGGTATAATTTATAATTAGATTAGGCACTTCCAAACATCTAGCAGATGACTTTGGTGTGTTTGTCACTTCCCGTTCCCCCCCCTGTCCTCAATTTCTGAGTCATTTGAGGAGTTTCAGTATCTCCAGTATTTGTTCAACACAGCAGAAAAGGCAGATTGCACGTACTATAATTGAGGAACCAAACAAAATAAGTGAGGAAATTAACATGTTCTATAGTAATCTGTATAAATCAAGAACTGAAAAAGAAAATGCAGATATCTTTTTGATATGATTAAAGACCAGGTAAGAAAATTGGAAGAGGATGATAAAACATGGTTAGAAGAAGATTTGAATATATCCGAATTAGATACAGCTCTAAAACAAATGAAAGATGGAAAATCGCCTGGAATTGATGGTTTAACGATTGAATTTTATAAAACCTTTTGGCAAGACATTAAAGATTTGTTATTTAATGGCTTTTTGGATTGTTTAAAAAATGAAGAACTATCCCCAACAATGAAAACAGGATTAATAACCTTATTACCCAAACCAAACAAAGATTTACAAATGCTAGACAATTGGAGACCCATAACACTTTTATGTAACGACTACAAATTATTAGCCTTAGTATATGCAAATAGGCTTAAAAGCGTCTTAACCAAATTGATTGATGAGTGCCAATCAGCGTTTATTAAAGGAAGGCAGATTCATAATAACATAAGATTAATATTAGATATGATTGACTATCGATCCTTTATTAATTCAGAAAGTTTAATACTATTTATTGACTTTTTTAAAGCATTTGATTCAATAGACCATAATTTTTATTTAGATCTTTAGAACTTTTTGGATTTGGAAACAAATTTTGCAAAGTGATCAAACTGTTCTACAAGCAAATTTATAGTTATGTTTCGCTCAATCCAGGCATAACATCTAGGATAGACATATTCTGTGGAATTCGACAGGGTTGCCCAATTTCTCCAAAATTATTTATTCTTTGCACTCAATTAATGGCTTACCTCATTGTGAACCATTCAGACATCGAAGGAATAAACTTTTTTGATATTGAACTGAAAATAAGTCAGTTTGCAGATGACACAGTAATATTTTTAAAGGATAAATCAATACTCGAGAAAGCATTGAATGTCATTTCAATTTTTTCTAAAGCTTCAGGCTTGTGTCTGAACCTAAAGAAGTGTGAACTTTTGCCACTTTATGATTGCTTGGAAAATAGCATGAGGACGATTCCAGTGAAAAATGAAGTTAAGTATCTAGGCATCTATTTAGACAAAGACATCAACACTAGAGAATCAAAAAACCTAAAAGACAAAATTGATGGCATGTCCAAAACACTAAATCATTGGTTGACGAGAGATATTACAATTTTTGGACGCAATCTATTATCCAAATCAGAGGGCGTCTCAAAGATGGTTTATCCAGCATACTCACTATACATTACCCCGAAAAGCATTAAAAAGATTAACTCTATAATCTATCAATTCATTTGGCGCAATAAAACACATTACATTAAAAAATCACAACTTGTCAAAGATTACGCTAAAGGTGGTATAAAGTCAATTGATTTTCAATCAATGGTTGGAGTTTTTAAAATAAACTGGATAAAAGCCTTCCTCTTGAAACCTGACTCCATATGGTTCCATATCCCAAAAAATATTTTCAAAAAGGTGGGAGGGTTGGATTTTCTCCTGAAATGTGATTTTGATATATTGAAGTTGCCTGTGAAACTGTCAGAATATCATAAGCAGGTCTTGTTTTATTGGAAGATGGTGATGGCATGTCCAAAACCACCACATTGCTCCACCTTGTGGAATAACAGAACAATTACAATTAATAAGAAGTCATTGTTTATTAAAGAGTGGTTTGAAAAAAACATAATCTTTATAACAGACTTACTTGATGAAAGGGGTCAGTTTCTCTCAGTGGGTGTTTTTAATGCTAAGTTTAACATTCAGTGTTCCCTTAGAGAATATGACAAGGTTTGTAAGGCAATCCCCTTACCTCTGTTGAGTTTGATTCAAGGTTATTTGTATTACTCTAAGGCACAAATTAGTCTACCTTCTTTACATCTAAACCAGATTCCTTTGACGGATAAAAACTGTAATAATAAAACCATGAACAAGATATTTAAAAACAAATTATTTCACGACTTTAACAGTAACACAAAACTAAAAGGGAGTAATATTAAAATAACGAACAAATATACGCACTTTTAAAATGGCCTATCCCCCCCAAAGTCAAAGAAATGCAATTTAAAATAATTAATGGATATTACCCAGCAGCTGAAATGCTTAAAAAAAGGTTTGGGTTTGAGGTAGAGCCATGTGGATTTTGTTCACAAAAGGTGGAAAGTATTGATCATTTGTTTTTTTTCCTGCTCAGTAACAACTGACTTTTGGCAAGATTTAGTAGACTGGTTGAGTATAAGAATAGATGGGATGACCCCACTGACTCTAACACAAGTTTTATATAATAATGGTGATCCATCTAAGGAACTGTCCATGCTACACAAGGTGGTGATAATTATGGGCAAATACCACATACACAAATGCAAATGGCAAAGTAAAAGACCTTCCCTAACTGTATTGGAAATTGAATTAAAATCTTTTTTGTCATCTTTAGAATTACTGAGGGATTCATGTAAAGAGGCTGCTTTGATATGCGACAATGGGACTCAATCTCTATCCTTTTAATGATTGTGTTTTTGGTGTACTAAGTAAGCCACATGTATGTTAAAGTGTTCACAGAAAGGAAACTGTTATATGTCATAAGAATGGCCTTCATATATATATTTATGTTTATGTATATGTGTTTGTTTTTTTTTGGTTTGTTTGTTTGTTTGTTTTTTTTGTTCTTGCTTTTAGTTTTTTTTCCTATTTCGTTTGGTTTCTTATTCAACCTTTTCAAGATGTTGTTGCACTAATGTTGTCTCCCAACGAGAGATTGTAATATGTGCATAAATTTAATTAAAGTATGAAAAAAAAAATAAATCTGTTGTCTTCCGGTATTTTCTCCGTAAGCGACCTTTCCTCGACCAATGAGATGAGCGGTAATCTGAATTGTCATACTCGAATTGTCATAAGTGTGCTGTCAGCTCATTGGTCACAAAGCAGGAGAGGGGCTGGGAATTATGTTTTCCAACAAAGCGTTAATTCCATAAACATTTATAGACTACTTTTGATTCTCACTGTATTACGGGACAAAGTGCGTCCCTTATTAGTTCAATACGGGACGATTACGTTTTTAAAGGGATGGTTGGCAACCCTAGCCGGAATTTTATATTCATGCTAGCGTTCACGGCGTTAACTACACATTTAAAGCGTCTAACAAAAACAGGCACAATGATGACAATAACTGAACTAAAATCACAATCAGAAACATCAGGTTGGCTAAATATACATTATATGTGTGTTTTACAGTGTTAGAAAGAAATGACACCCACCTCTCCCACAGGGGAATTGTAGAAAAGGGGCAAGGCCAAAGGGGTACACTGTATTTATAGGGTTACACCAAGGAAGAAGAAGAACAATGAGGAGGGGCTCAGATAAGGAATATAACTACAGGCTTGGAGGTCCTAACAGTCAGGTATGAAGAACACATTTTGTGTAATTATAACAATGTGTAATTTATGACACAGCAATCTGTCTCTAATATTTAATGAAATGTGCTGAAGATGCTAATAATTAGTCAATTTTGTGTTAAACTAGTCTTTAATATGTTGTAAAAACTTTGAATCTCATGCAGATTTTCACATCAGTGTGCTTTATGATGTGCTAATAATGAAAATGAGGCAGGGCCCTGAACACATCATGTGTTAACGCCTTCACTCAGAGCCTGCAGTGACCACAGAAAGTGTGCAGCTGATAAATGAGGGTCCACGTCCTCATGCAGACTGACAACAAGAACAGGGTTCATGAAGATAACAGAGGCAGCTTCAACAACGTCACATGTCATACAGCATCTGTAATCACAGCCTCAGAGGCCACAAAGCGAAGCAGACAGGTGCATCCAGGTGTAACCACCGGTAAAGTTCACATTTATCAGTGTTTACCTTTGTGTTTGTTCATGATTAGTGCAGCCGCCCTGTTAACTGAGCGTGCTCTCATCATTTTAATGCTGTGGTGCTTCAGTACAGACCAGTCATATAACACAGTGGTACAGGGAGACTCCTCTGTTGACAGAAGAACATCAGCTTCATCCATCACAGACTCGAGGCTGGACCGCCTGACTTTAACAGGAATCTGTAGCCTCAGTGCTCCACGCCAGCAGGTGGCGCCAACGCACCGGTATCACGCCCTTTCACCTCCGACAGCGAAGAAGAAGTGGTGGAGTAAAAGAAGAAGAAGGGAGCGCAGAGCTGGAGTTAGCAGGTGAGGAGTGTCCCGGTTCTGTACTCTCACTTAACGGTTCTGGTCGTGTTTGCGGTTTGGTCCGGTTCCCAGCAGCGCTCGGTTCCGGTTCTGGTTAGCTGCAGCTAGCTGCTCGTTAGCTCTCCGTGCTAACAGCTGCGTTAGCCTGTGTGCTGCTAGCTGTTAGCACCAGGCTGTCGTAAATAAGCTTCCATTATCGGACAGAGACGCCTGTCAGTCACACCTGAGCGTGGCGTGACTGCAGCCCGGTCACTGCACAGGTGAGAGCACCTGTCACACCTGCAGGCTGATGACGGCTGGCAGGGTCAGTGTGAGAGGCTGTTTGTTCTGGTCCTGATCAGGAGGTGGTTCCTCAAGGTGCTTCTGATGTTGGGGTAGATCAGTGTGTCAGCCTCTATAATCCAGATGTTTGTCACATGTGGATTCCAGCTGTAGAAGTGTGTGTGTTTGTGTGTCAGCGGGGAGCTGGTTCTGATTGGTCCAGGTGTTCTCCTCACAGTCACGTTAAGTGTGGAGGAGGCCTCGTGTTCATGTTGACTCCACCACAGCCTGAGGGCCCTGCAGGAGCCTCTGATGCAGACACGTGTGCACCTTTAACCCTGTGAGGAGCGTTCAGTGTCAGAACCCTGCGATGGTTCCTCGGAGGATCACGCTCAGTGGCTCAGGTGAAGGATCCACAACACCTGCTGCTCCTCCTCCATGTTTAGAGTAGGAAGCTGAATACAGATGTTTCCACACTGTGGAGCATCTGAAGTGCAGATGTTTGAAACACGCTTTCTTGTACTTTAGACAGAAAATGTCGAGCATCGAAGTCGTCCTCACTATAACCTGTGACTCACACACTGCCCCGCCATAAAGGAAATGCCTATACTGTGGTGTGCAGGTGTGGCTGCCTCCATTATGAAGACGAGAGTCCTCAAAAACACAGAGTTACAAAGAGTCCCTGAACTACGTGTTCCTGCTGAGGGACTGCAGGTGGAGCTCACAGCTAAAGCTGCTTCTTTGTTTTATCATCAGGGTGTCATCGAGGTCTGTTGCCATGGAGGACCATGCTGACGTTGCCATGGAGAACAAGACAGAGGTCCCAGCCTCCGACGCCCCGTCCTCTCCTGACAAAGAGCCGGCAAAGCCCGCTGCGCGTCAGCCACACCGCCGCACCTTAGGGAGGAGGGGCCAGAGAGCAAAAAGGCGGGGTCATATAGAGAAAAAGCGGGGTCAGAAATCGAAGAGGCGGGCCAGGAGGACAAGAAGGAGGGCGTGACGGTGAAGAGGACGTGGAGCGGCGGGAAGCGCCGTTGGGACAAGAAGCATTACTGCGTGTTCTGCCGACGGCCACAGGTGAAGATCGCACGCCACCTGCTGAGGAAGCATGCCGACGAACAGGAAGTACTGGCTGCCAGCACCCTGCCGACAGGCTCCAAAGAACGCCACCTGCTGCTGGAGCACCTGCGCTGCCGAGGCAACTATCTACACAACATCGAGGTCAGTTTGTGTGTTTTACCGGTGTGTCAGCTACCGGTCAGTTTACCTGTTTCTTTCAGGTGCCTTTAGTTGTTACCTGTGCAACTAAATTAATGTACATTTGTCATGGCCATGGACTCCTGCCTTATCGAGGAGGAGAGATTCCAGAGTCTACGATGTCAGTTAATTAGGAACTGCCTTTTTCAGCTAAGAAATATCTCCAAACTGCAAACATTGTTTTCTAAATGTGAGTTAGACATGATTCTTCATGCTTCTATGTCTTCTCTCTTAGATCACTGTAAGTCTTCGTCTTTGAGCAAAAACAATCGTGACCGTCTCCAGCCAAGACACGTAAAAGAGCATTACGTTAGGGGTTCACATCAATTCTAGCTTGAATAACACGATATCGATTCGTTAAAATCCTGAATCGATTTTGGCCGAAACACATATTTGATCTGTTCTGACGGATCAGAACCAGTGAGATGTCGGCTTTCTCACGAACACGCCATCAGGTGAGAAAGCCGACAGCCCACTGATTGTGATGCGCTGACGGGTGCGCGCTTTGTGTTTACGTCTTTTTTTGTGTTCGATTCTCAAGATGCAGTTTAAGTCAACTTTGGTTGGAGAGACAAAACCATCAAGAAAAGAAGATCCAAACTATGCTTCACATAAACATCGTCATGAATTCCCTCTTTGGGGACTTTGGCTGTTTTGCTGCCAGAACAATAAAATCCCACTTCATGCACAGCTCTCTCTCTCTGTGTTGAAGAACAGTTTCCCATCTAAAAATCAGTTTTCTGCTTTATTCACTTGCTTATTACGCACAAGACTCATTTCTGCTGTTCAATACTGAAGAAATGTAAACTTCTTAAAATTCCAAAACTCCTGGCTGTGTCTGTAATCGTCTGTAACTTTGCTCTGCTGCACGTCAGCAGCATCAGGTAATGTTCACATGTTGATTCGTGACTTTCTTTCATTTTTGATCTACTGCAGAATATTTTTAACTGCTATAAAATCTCAGGCCAAGAAAGTCACCTTCATGTTCTTCTGTTTTATCCTCAGGTTCTTTGACACAAAGACATCTGCTGTGATAAAGTCTCACATATATTTTATAGATATAAAAATGGTTATGTACTGATAAACAATCAGAATTATAATTTTTCTGACTGTCTGAGGCAAAAAATCAAATCGTGGATCGAATCGAATCAGGACCTTGTGACTCAGAATCAAATTGATTCTAGAAATCAGTGATGACACCCAGCCCTACAGTACACCAGTGTCACACTCATTACACTGGCTACATCTTAGAATTCATTTTAAAATCTGCCCTTTACAGCTCTGAATCATGTCCTGTCCATATTACTGATCTTTTAGAGCCTCACACTCCCTCGCGCAGCCTCAACCTGTTGGTATGTTTAAACCTGAGGGGACAGATCTGAGCGGCGTCCCCCAGGTTGTGCAGTTCTCTGGATTCCCTGGATTGTATTTATTCTTTTAAACATCATCTTAAGACTAATTTGTTTAGACTAGCTGAGTATTTGATTGTGCTGTTTTATGTTTATCTGTTTTATATTATTCTGAAGCACTATGTGGTTTTTGTCCTGTGAAGAGTGCTATAAATCAATGAAGTAAGTAAACCAGGTGGTGGACAGCAGAGGGGGAGGGGCCCATCAGGCTGAAGGATCAGGGTTTGTTAGTCCGTGGTACCTCAGAGGCAGCCAACAGGTACAGGCCAAATGAGACGTGGCTCAGGCTGAAGGTAAACCTCAGGTGTGGGAGCAGTTTGGAGAGGTTTGGACAAAGCGTGATTCAGGAGGAGAAAGCAGTGCTCCACCTGCACTGTGTGTAGGTTAGGTGGAGTGCTGCTGATCAGCTGAGGACAAAATCAGACAGTGGAAGGAAACTGTAACAGTATTTCATTCAGCATGAATAACTGTCTGACTGCATCATTTTCTCATCAGAGAAATGTAAAGTGTACTCAAAGTGTAAAAGCAACATTTCTGCGCCTCTGCTTCCTTACACCGCTGCATATTTGTTTCAGTCTGAGACACTCACTGCAGTCGTGACGAGGACCAAATCCACCTGAAAAGTAAAAGGATTTGGCCCTGTTCACAATGTCAGAGTTTTAAGGCTCAATCAATAGATTTCGAGACTGTTCACGTTGCTCTTTTTTAAAATTATTATTATTTTGCTAGCTATCAAACTCACAGGATAAATGATTGAAATGCAATAAAGCAACACTACTACAGCAGCAGTAATGTGAGTTACCTCCCTCAAGTGGAAGCTTTAAACGTTACAGCCCGATACAGGGGCGGATCTGCAGGGGCGGATCTACAGGGGCGGATCTGCAGGGGTGGCGGCAGCGAGCGAGAGACAGGTTTTGAGATGTGGAAGATTTGTGATGCTTAGTGTGGAGTGTATAGTTAGCGTGTTGTGCAGTTGTTGTTGTGTGTCAGTGAGGGCACTAATGAATGTCACAAAGGCAGATTGCAGTGTAAAGACTGTCTCCACTGTCCACCTGCTGTGGTCGGGCCTGCAGGTTTTTCCCTGTGGTGGCTCCTCTGTCTGCTGGTGGACAGACACATTTTCTTTACTGACACAAATAATTATTGGGGCATCTTATTGTTAACTGGTTTTAGTTATAGTATTTTTCAGTAGTATTTTTAAGTGATTGTACAAAAAACAGCCTGCCAGATGCAGTGGGTGCATTTTTAGATAAATAGTTGTATATAACTTTGTTGTTTAAAATATAAGTTTTCAAAATGTGCAAGTTGTATTTGCAAGTTATGAAATAATTTTATGGTTTTTACAGTTAAAAAGAAACTGCTACTAGGATTTTATGTTTTTGTGTGATTTCAGGTCAGTTGTGTTACTACAGTTTGTCAGTGAACACATATCTGTAAATTCAGACACGTGAGACTGAGCTGAAGAGAATGATACCAAACAAGGCAAAAAACATTTGAAGGTGAAACACAAGCTTTCTCTGAAAGGTGCCTCTCCTCTCCCTTAGAGATGGGGACTCCTGGTGAGGTGTTCTGGGCATGTCCCATCAGAAGACCCAGGACACAGTGGGGAGATTATGGGTGGGAATGTCTTGGTGGTTCCCAGGGCCAACTGGAGGAAGTAGCCAGGGAGAGGGAGGTCTGGGCTTGCCCCCAAGACTCGGCCCCAGATAAGCAGAACAAAATGAATCAATGGATGTATTTATAGCAGGAAGTCACATAAACAGTTGCCTCAAGCTTTATAGTTTAACTTAAAGATGCTACAATAACACCTGTGTTTACCTGTCTGTTACCGGTGAGGTTTTCTGTTCCTTACAGGTACATTTACTCCGCCTCCCTGTGTGTCCTCAGGTGATCCGGCAGGGCACTGGTGAGATTGTGCCATGGCGTCAGCCCTCTGAGGATGTGGATGCGAGGAACTACCTGCCGTGCCCATTGTGTCTTGGATTTTTCCTTCGTGCTGACCTGTGGAAGCATCAGGTGTCGTGTCGCAAGAAGCTCGCCATCAACCCGTCCAAAGCCGAGGCGAACGCTGACCCCGCCAACGACGCCACCTCTGGTTCCACAAGTAAGTTGCCCTGTGATGTCACCAGAGAGGACATACCTGAGGATTCCCTTGGTGAGACTGCAGAGACCGGGACCAAACAGCTTATGACCTCTGACCCAAGTGTCGATCAGAACACGACCTCTGACCCCGCTGTGAACCGAGCCAGGAAACGGACCAGAGTGCAGGCAGCAGCGTCGCGGCCCCTGCCGATCTCCAGTGGAGCGTCTGAGAGCTGCAGTGAAATCCTGCATCGCATGAACCAAGATAATGTGTCTTACGAGGTCAGCTCACCTGTCTGTCTGTGCACCTAACACTGTCTGCACTCTCTGACCTTTCTCTGTGGTAACTGGCTCCTCTCTGCCTCCAGGTGAAGTCTGATTGGCTGATCTGTAAGTATGGCAACAAGCTGATGGGGAACCAGGATAGTGGTCAGAGGAGGTACGACTACGTAAGCCAGAAGCTCCGGGAACTTGGCAGGTTGCTCCTGGCCGCTAAATCCCTTGACTCCGGCGTCCAGAGCCTGCAGGACCTGCTGGCCCCAGGTCGCCTCAGCCTGGCGCTGTCCGCGGCCAGGAAGGCAGCGGGAAACAGGTGGAGCCGCCCTCCACTGGCGGTGAAAACAACACTAAAGACAGTCTGTGAGATTGCTATTGGAGAGAGCCTGCAGGACGGAGACTGGGAGGCTGCCGCCAAGACCACCGACTTCTACCACATGCTGGGCCGGGAGTGGGACAACCTGGGCCTGCAGAACCCAGATCCAGGTGAGACCACAGTCCAGCCCCTCCTGCTTAGTTTAGCATCTTCAGTAACGTCCAGTAATGTTTGGGTTAGGAAGAACCAGGATGTGACTGTAGTTTTGGATTTTCAGCTAGAGAAGTTTGGATCCCAAAGTTTGTGTTACTGACCCAGTTTTTCTCCTTTTCCAGCTGCTACAGATGGAGGAACTAAACCAAAGAAACGACCTGTCCAGATAAGACTGGACAACGACCTCAGACAAGAAGGTGAGTCCACACCTCGCCGCAGGTTTGGATCAGTTCCCGAACTTCTAACTTTATAGAACCAGTTGTTGGAGCTGTTTACCTATCTGTGCCCACCTTTGTTCACAGTTCTGTCAAAGAGCTCTAACAAACCAGTGACCTCTGCGATTCCACCTGAAGCCAGAATGCAAACATCTGTCTCAGGTGAGTCCACCTGGATTCATGTTACTACTTTGACTTTAGCAGATTAGTCTCATCGTGCTCCAATTCTGTTGGTTTTTCAGTCCCTGTGGCTCCCAGGAAGGTCCGACGGCGGCCATGGTCCTCTGCAGAGAAGGAGGCCATCTGGAGGCAATTAGGAGTCCATGTTCTGGTCCAGTCCGTACCAGGTAAGGAGGTCTGTCAGCGCTGTCTGGACTTAGAACCAGTCCTCAGGGGGCGGCACTGGAAGGACATCAAGAACCAGGTTCACAACCAAATCCAGAGCCAAAAGAAGCAGCAGTTCCACGCTCAGATGGAACTCGAGAAGAACCAGGATCACCAAGACCAGCTCCAGAACCAGAAAAAGCCAGAGCAGCAGCAGTACCAGCCTCCAGTCGATGAACAGGGAAAAGACCACCGTCTGAACCAGAAGAAACCACCATACCAGTCCCAGATGGACCAACATGATCCGGATATTTCTCGGAATCAGAAGAGATCACAATACCACATCAGCATACACCACCAGGCCCAGGATAGCATCCAGAACCAGAAGAAACAACAGGAGCACGCCCAGCTGGATCACCAGGACTATCTACACAACCACAAGAAGCAGCTGTGTACCCCTAGAGTGGACCACCAGGACCACAGCCAGGTCCATAAGAAGCAGCTGTATCAGATGGACCAGCAGGCCCAGCCCCTGCAGACCCTGGACCAGGAAACGTCTCTTCTAACCATCACAACCTACAGACCTGATGGGTCAAATCGAGCTCCTGGACATTTGCTGCTTGAGCGGGAGCACAACATTACAACCTACCCAGTTCTGCACAGACCACCGGGACCTCACATGGACCAGCTGCTGCCCAGAATAGACTGGGCCGAGGATGCTCCAGCCCCGAACTATCCTATCAGCAGGCCACTGGGCAGGACCCTGCTACAGGATGTGCCCCCAGGAGGACCACCCTCTGACCATGTACACTTCTGACCGGTCCAGGTCTAGAGGACTTAATGATAGGTTGGCCCTTCTCAAAGGGTGCATATCAGATTTGGTAGTAAAAAGACCTGCTTTTATGATAACACATGTAAACCTTTCTTAGAAGGTCCTTGGATTTCCTGTGTGAAATTAGTATTTGCCTCCTACAGGACTATATACCCTATACTATATACCCCCCCCTCCCCCGTATGTTCTGGCAATTCCAATGGGTCTGGTTCTGATATGTCAGTCTGGTCAGGAGATGAACCTGGATCCTGGTTGAGGTGCTGTTAGATAGGTGAAACAGTTCAGCTGTGATGTACCTGAGTTATACCGACTACGTGCCAGTGCCTGATCTTATTATAAAAGGCGGGTACCAAAAACCAAAACCAGCACCTTAGTGGTCCAGTGTTGGCCTTTGATGTTACCTGTTCTGGGAGGAGCTCCTGCTGAAAGATCACAGATGGTAGGGTCAGTCGTCAGATACTGTCTTCCATAATCAGAATTTGCCCCAAATGTATCTTCATAGGAAGATTCATATGAAGCAGCCCACAGCTCTACGTCTTAAACCTGTAGAACGGTGGGCTGGTTCTCTGAAGACGCTGAGGCAGAACCAGCTCTGTGTGAAAGAGCTAATGAAGGGATCAAGGCCCTTTGCCCTCATTTAACCATAAAGGTGTTTAAAGTTCTCTGTATGTTTAGTGTATGGTTCTCCTCACACTCCTCTGTGTGATGAGCACTGGGGCACAACCCCTGACAGAGCGGCCAAACAGGTGGTTCTAAACGGTTCCTGCAGGTCCCTGGGAGTCCTGGTCTGTGGTGGTCCTGTGATGGTACCACTGCATCCTAAAAATAGCAAGTTGTCATGTCACAGGCTTATTCCAGAAAGGATGACATTCATTTTGACCTCAGTATTCTACACACAGTACTGAAGAAGCTTCTCGGATGAGAGGTGAAACGTCTTCAAGTAACTTAAAGAAGTCCAGACGCTTTTCTTTGCAAGCTCCTTAGACTACACACAGTACTCCAAATCAAAATTCTTAAATGTTTATTAAAACATTTAAGAGAAAAATATAACACATGCACAGGTATTCTCAGCCTTTGTTAAAATATGTTGTTCAAGCACTTTTTGTCCGCAGTTACAGAAGATCAGTGTTGGGCAGGGTTTTAATAGTTTTGCACGCACACATCAATGAAAACTAAACACACTTTTGCTATAAAGTCAGTTAATTTTAGTTTTGTGAACACTCATTACAGTTGTAGTTATTTTCCTTTTTATTTTTATTTCCGCTAACGAAAATGTTTTTTCACTTCTAGTTTTCGTTAACGATAATGACCTTGGTGTTGGGAAGGTTACTTTTAAAACGTATTCCATTACAGATTACAGATTACATGCCCCAAAATGTATTTTGTAACATATTCCATTACGTAGCTCAATGAGAGTAACGTATTCGGAATACTTTGGATTACTTAATATATTATCATGCTTTTTACAACTATGTGAATGTACTATTGCTGTGTGATTTATTACTATTACTGAAGATCCACGGCTATTTACGGATGAGAAGTAAAAAAGAGCCGCTAGGTGCTAAAAAATAAAGCTTAGACTCAGACGTTAGAACAGGCTTCTCCCCGCAGCACGCTGTGTAATAAATACTCACAAAGAAAACGGCAGTCGTTACAACTTATGTCTAAAAATGCATCATTTCACGCATCGTTAAAACACTCGACTCCGGGTAAAGGACGCGCAGCTGGAAACACTTCACGCAAGTCGAGCTGCCCGAGATTCACAGAATTTACAGAAAATGTTACATTTTTGTGATTTATATCCTTATCGGACGATAGAATTCTTATATCGGGATATGAGATTTTGGTCATATCACACATATCTGTCGGGCTCGTAGCCAAAAAAATAGCTTTACTTTGTTGTGTGGGTCAACTTTTCTTGCGAGAGACAGAGAGAGGCGTTGAAAGGCTGCTCCAACGGAACTTATTGTTTTGGAGGAAAACACGAACACAGTGTACAGTCGAGTCTTAATAGCTTACTTACAACTGGGCTCGTCAGGCACTCTTCTTGGCTGCAGTGGTTATTATTTTATTTACATGCTTACAGCTCCCGTTTTTGCTCGATGACAACTCGTACTTTTCCTTTTTCTCCCTCCTCGTGCTCACAGACACATAACGTGTATGGCAGTCCATTCTCCCTGCAGCACAGACTACACTGCCCATGATGCTACATTCTTTAGAGCTATGCTGGTAGCATTCTGCCTGTTAGCTTAGCACAACAACAACGAAAAGGCGCTCTCTCACCCAGGAAACACACAGTCGCAGAGAGAGAGAGAGAGCGTCGCCCTGTAACCATGGCAACCGTAATGCTGCCGCCTGGAACAACAGAACGTAGCTGTCAAACAAACCCAAACAGTCCTGACCCGCGACAAAATGAAACAGGAAAGTACCGCAGTGTAATCCATTTATTTCAACAAAGTAACTGTATTCTAAATACCACCTTTTTAAACGGTACCTGTAACGGAATACAGTTACTCATATTCGGTATTGTAAATACGTAACGGCGGTACATGTATGCCGTTACTCCCCAACACTGCAGAAGATGAACCTTCGCCCAAGCTCGATGTCCAGCACACTTTTGGACCAGGTTATGTCTCATTCGTCTTTTCCTTCAGAGAGTCCTTCACAGGCCTTTGGGCAAACTCCAGGCAGGCTGTCGTAGCTGGTTTCCTTTAGCACCTACTCGCCTGAGCCCGCCTCTGTTTGTGTCGTGCTCTATTACATTTGAGTTTCACCTCAATATGTGTGGGGTTGTCATGGGAACACAACCAACATCCCATGTGTCTATGTGCCACAAACACAATGGATGACATTGAGGCGATGGTATACCCGCTGCTTGGTCTGTGGGTGTTTGTCAGACTCGAGCACCATGATGTCAGTTTGTAGGTAACCCTTGTTGCCGAGTTTCAGAAATGCCAGGTTTCATCTAACTCGTGATTCATCTAATGACACCGCTGGCTGGCCAATCGGGGGCTTTTGATGTCACATTTTTAGACTGACTCTGCTCGGTTGGAAAGCCAGGCCAGCATTTGCTAAAAAAGTACCTGGTACCAGGTACTACTCCCTGATGGAAAACCCTAGAAACTAGGTTGAGCTCAGCCGAGTAGGTACTAGATGAGAGGCGCAGAAGATTGCCCAGATTGCAGACATTACTGACAGACGATCAGTGTGCACAGCTAAACAAACATGAGTGTCGGGGCTGTGAGTACTTGTGTCCATCTTATACTTTAACATGGACAGTCAGCTGACTGTGCAGAGGTGAAAATGAATGTCATGGAATAAAGCTGTAACGTGACAACACGAGGAACACTGAATGCTTCCAGGATGATGTGCAGAGATCATCTATGATGTTTCTGTGTCTCCTGCTCGTCTCCCTTTAATCTGTCTTCATCCACCCCTCAGTGTTCCTGCTGTCCTCTCAACGTCTTGATGTCCCTGCAGCTCCACTTTATCACCACTAGATGGCAGACTTCTCCCTGTTTCTGGTCCCTGTTAGAGGATAAGAACATGTTCCAGTCCAGACTGCAAGCTGCTGCTTTTTCCTCCACATGTCACATTTCTGATGTCCTGTAGAGTCGCTGATCCACAGGTGATCGATCCACAGCTGTGTCCTGCAGGAGGAGCATCAGCTCAGACACTGAATGGCAGCAGGAGGCTCTGTGTGTGTTTAATGTGTAATAAAAGTGTCTGTAACTGTCCGGTGATGGAGCCCTGTCACGCTCGGTCCTTTTATTTCATTATATCTGTTTCAATAAACGCGTCCCCGCTCTGTGACGGTTCAGACTCGTGTTCTTCAGGAGCTGTAACTGTTAAGAGCTAAAGGTCCCACCTGCACAGGTTAGGATGGCGTGCGGAGCACATGGAGACACAGAGGCTTTTATTTATGCACAGGAAACAGAATTGTGTTATTCATTATGATGAGGATGATGATGGTGTGGCATTAAGAAACATGTAGAATAATCATGATAAGACCAAGTTTCCACAGAGACGAGGTCTGCGTTTGGACCTCAGCACGGCTGTGATAGAAGAAAGTTGGGTTTAAGTCACTGCAGCATAAACACATCATAAATAAACCGTGTTAATAAAGCAGAACACGAGGACCTGTCTGCTCTACTGTGAAGTCGATCTGCAGGTTCAAACACACCTGAGCTACTCCCAGAGAGGATCCAGCCAATCATGTTTCTGGTTTGTGATTGGCTGAGCGGTCGACAGCCGCCGTGGTTAAACCGACTCGGTCTGTCTGGACTCAGACTTGCATCATCCTCTCAGCTGTCACACTGTTTCAAGCTAGTGCACCACTGCAAGCTTAGCTATCGATCACTGATACCAATGCTGATACTTCTAACTTATGTAGGGCAGGCGGTGAGTCGTGACATCATCATCATTTTACCAGTTCTGAACACATTTTAATGATCGCTCAACAACTGGGACTTCACCTTTCCACAGTAGTTACCACAACAAAACACACCCTTCAGCTTTTATTTTGAAAGTTTTTCTGGGAGATGTTCCTGTCTCTGAAAGACTTTGGTTCAGCTTCTGTTGTTTAAATGCGCTGCAGGCTGCAAAGACACGTTTAACACATTTCACTGGTCTTCGTGCTGAACGTAGAGGATAGAAACACAGTATTGCAGTAGTATTGATCCCACACCAGCGTGGTATCAATGCTATGGATATGTGGATCGATCCGCCTGCTCTAACCAGCATGATGTTTCATAAACACTTAGACATACTCTACTTCAGCTCTGTCATGTTTACTGAGCAGAGTGCATGATGGGATACAGCACCCAGGTGGCCGTGAGATTTGAAACTGGACAGACTACAGTGATACTGGTGGAGGCTCTGCAGTCACTGGGAGATCCAGCTGTTTATCTGATCCAGTCATATGGTGATAACATGTTTGCTTTAAAGATAAAGCTTTCATCCTGCAGCTACGTCCCACGTCTAGACTGGACTGCTGCACTTCTCTCTGGTTGGGCCTTCAACACCCGTCTCTCCATCGCTTCCAGTCAGTCCACAGTGCTGCTGCAGGTGCTAAAACACCACTGCAGTTTGGCTGATTTATGTTTAAGATTTGTTTTTACGTTTGTAAATGTTATTTTGTCTTTGCTTCAAATACATCACAGTTGCTCTTTGGTCCCATAGCTGGCGTACTGCACTGGATCACACTGTACGAACTGTTACTCAGATACTTTAAAGAAATAAGACAACATTTTAAAAACACTTTTTGTCAGAGACTTAATCATTTTTGACTGTAAGCTGAACACTGAATACAATCTACGGCAAACATCTACAAACTGAGTAAAGCCAGTACATCACACTTCAGTAAAGTCGTAGTGTTTAGAAGATAAACTACAATTTCAGTTTGGATGAATCTGGGTTTGTTATTGCTGATGACATCAGCTGCTCTGTGATCAGCTGCTCTGTGATTTACAAGTACAAACAAATATGTAGTCAGCATCATCATAACTAACACATGTATGTATGAACCTGTAGTATTTGTACACAGTGTGTGTAGTGTGTCAGTATAATTATATACTAACCTGTGGTACTTGTACTGTTACTGTCATTTCCTCGGGGATTACTAAATATTCTGATTACAGTTCTCGGGTGTTTCTAATAAACTGGCCGTGCGTGATGACGTCTTCTCAGTCATCAGCTGCTGGTTATGGTACACGTGAGTGACGTCACGGTCACGTTCCCCCTCGCGGTCTGGTCTATGATGTCACGGTCTGTCAATCCCGCAGAGGGCGGGGTCTCCTTGCGCCGCGATTGGCGAGCCGGGCGGTGACGTCAGCGGGCGCTGAAGGGGAGGGGTTTATCCCGGAGAGCGAGTGTCCGCGCGCTCCGTCAGCCGCATCCTCGTCATCAGGGACTTGGAGAGCCTCCATCATCACCTCGTCTTTCATCACCTCCATCACCTCCGTCAGCTCCATCATGTCCGGCTCTAAGGAGGACGACCGGAAGGGCTCGAGTGAGTGGCGGGATTTCTTCTGGAACCCGAGGACGCACGAGCTGCTGGGCCGGACCGCCGCCAGCTGGGGTCAGTACCATGGTATCCGTGCGCGTCTCCGCGAATCGGTTTGTGTGTTCACGGTATCTGTGAACGCGCACAGCTGATTATTGATTACTGATCGATCACGCGGATCGATCGTGCTAACGGTCCGTTTATCAGCCACACTCTGATCATTGATTGAGCAGAGGGCAGCCGGTTAATCGATAACTAAAGCTGTGCTTTCCAAACTGTGGGGCGGGACCCTCGGGGCAGACAGGATGTTTTAGCTCTGAACTGATGTATTGATTATAATCAATGAGTATTGGAGCTTTGTTAGCAGAGGGCTTACCTGTGAACACCTGCTGAGGACAGCACTAACACACCTGAGCTCCTGATGTCAGCAGGGTGCTCCCACCTGTCCAGGTGTACCTGCCTGTCACAGGTGGGTTGTTAGAGTCGTCCTGTTGTCTGCTCCTGGGCTCACTCACAGCAGAGATCACACACAGAGAGCTTTAGTTTCTGACATTGTTTAAGATGAGACCGTTCATATGTTTATAGCACCACAGAACTCTGCACCTCGCCTCCTTTGTCTCTCCACACGTGGGGAGGAGGTGCTGTGAATCTCATTGTACATGCTTACACTGCCTGAGCGTCTGCTTACCTGGATGCATCCAGGTGATCGTCCCAGGCTGTTTCTGATTGGATGAAAGCTCTGTTGGTCTGCACCTCGGCTTAAATCTAGTTTTCTCAGACTGAGTCAGCTGCACCTGAAGAGGTGTGTTTGAGGTCAGGAACAGCTGTTTCCAGCTGTTTCCAGGTGTGTCTGTGAGCTCAGAGCTCCATCCTCAGGTGATCTGTTCCACGGTCCAATCAGCTCGCTGTGTCACAGGTGGACTCAGAGATCAATACAGTCACAGACTTCAGTTACTGATAGTCGATGTGATCAAACATCAGGAGGGACGTCTGTCTGATTCTGTTACAATGAAGGCTGATAACTGATCACAGCTGATCAATAACCCTGATCAGCTCTGATCGCTCTCATGACGACCAATACTGAAGCAGTGATGTTGGCAGCCTCTCTCTCTCTGAGTGAGAGTGATGCTTGCTCGCCCTCTGACAGCCATGTCCTGTATGAAGGTCATTCTTTAATGTGTGTGTGTGTTCAGAGTACCATCCAATCAAACTCGTCCGCTTAATCCAGATTAAGACACACTCACACACACACACACGGGCAGATATGTTAGTGTGCTCCTGAGGACTCTTAAAGGGACAGTACAACATGTCACTGACTCAGATGGAGGTTGTAGTCACTCTACTGGTCACATGACCATAGGGGGTGGAGACAAAACATCCAGAATCAGGCAGTTAGACCACAGTGAGGTCGCGTTTTTTCAGGAGGGAGCTCAGGAGACGTTCTTGTTAAAATGATCTTCAGCTGGTCCTTGAGGGGGTACCAGTGTTATAGAAGGTTCTAGATTATTCTGAAGGGGAACAAGGTGTGTTTGGACAGAGCTGATGGAGTTCCTGTGGAAGGCCTGTTGGAAGGACGGAGGGGTGGTAGAGCTCTGGGTGGAACCAGTCACCTCAGCTTTATTCACACAGTACCAGTTCACAGCAGTGACAGTGTTTCTCTGAGCTCCTGTCAGAGGTCAGAGGTCACAGTGAAGAAACACGTCTGCAAGACGTGCACACAGCTCTGCTGTCACTTCAACATAAATGAAGACAGAAAACTAAACAGCAGTGACGTTTGCAGGGTTACTGAAGTTGGGCTAGCCGGTAGATAAAACTTCCCTTCATGTCTAACATTTTCGACATGAAGGGAAGTTTAGAAATCGGCCTGTAATGTGAAAGAGCGTTGGGGTCAGAGTGGCTTTTCTTCATAACTGGTTGCACAACTGCGTGTTTGAAGACAAGGAAGAGTTCATCAAAAGTAAGATACAGGGTCCAATAGTAGTCAGAGCTTCCTTAATAATGCGGGAAGGAAGAATGTCATGCAGCGTACTGCAGCTTCTCAAACGATCAATTATTTCTTTTAAAGTTGAAAAGGATACGGGCTCAAACTGTTGAAAAGCCATAGAGCATTCAGACTGCCAGCAGATATGGTGCCCTTAGTGCTGAGATCTTATCTATAAAGTAATTTCAGAACCTTTCACAGAGAGCTGGGGAGCATCCCTCTGAGCAGCAGAGCAGGGATTAGAAGATTTGAAATATTAGTAATAATTTCTGACAGAAATTAAGCTTTTGCAGTTTGGACAGTCTTCTGATATTTTGATCGGCAGTTATGCAGGATGTCCAGGGACACCTGGAGTTTGTCTTTTTTACATCTCCTCTCAGCTCGGCGACATTCCCGCCAGAGAGCGCGAGTGGATTCATTCAGCCATGGTTGGTAATTGGCCTTCAGCGTTAAGTCCTTAATGGAGCCACAATGTCTGAAATCGAGGAGCATGTTGAAATAAAGGAGTTAGCAAGTTCATCAACCGATATAGCTGTATTACAGTAGATATCATAAAAAGTAGAGTTAGTAACGGCCGCGGAGAAGCTGGTGATCCGTACATCCGTAATGCACACGTCCAGACTGGATGACAATACCAGATCAAGCGTGTGGCCTTTAACTGGCACTAGAAGGCATGAGCACATCACCCCTGTCCTCGCTAACTTACACTGGCTTCCCGTCAAATATCGCATTGGTTTCAGAATCCTTCTGCTCACTTGTAAAATTCTAACTAACGTGGCCCCTAGCTACCTAACTGATCCGCTTGATCTGTACAACCCAAGGCGAGCACTGAGATCCTCCAGCCAACTGCTCCTAATGCAACCAAGGTCTCGTTTAACAACCAGAGGTGACCGTGCTTTTGCCATTGCTGCTCCTGGACTCTGGAATAATCTCCCAGTCAAAATCCATACATCGGAATCAATTCAATCCTTCAAATCACGCTTGAAACCACACTTGTTTAAATTAGCTTTGAATTTCACTCGGTCTGCACTACACCAACTAAATGCAATTTTAAGTATCATTGTACTATTTGTTTCTTGTTCTGGCCGCATTGCGGTTTTATTGTGAAGCACTTTGATGTACACTAGTCGTTTAAATGTGCTGTAGAAATACATTTTGACTTGACTATATAATGATGTGCTTTTGATCGCTAGCGACACAGCTATGTTAGCATAACACAGTGAAGCTGGAGGATGAACGCTAACCTTTTTCCACTCAATAACAGTTAGAATGAGGGCTCTCGATGGTTAGAGACAAATGCTATCGCATGGCAGGATGCTGTAAACGGACCAAACTTCAGTCAGGAGAACAACTGAGATAATCCATCCACAATACGAGGTTGGTCATTAATATACTGCAACAACACGGGAATAGAGCAGCTGTGAGAGAATTCAACATTAATGAATCAATGGTACAGAAGTGCAGGAAGCGCAGTTTTTGGCTTTCCTCATGTTCCGAAACGTGAACATAATTTGCAGATGATATTGCTTGCAGCCGCTGCAATGCTTTCAATCAAAACAGGTGCAGCTAGATGACACCATCAACATGCTATATCGTGGTAGAGCGGTATAGTCAAAATCTACTGTTGGAAAGTTGAAAGGCTGTCCCAACTTTTCTGTTTTGGAGACAGTGAACGCAGCGTACAGTCGAGTTTTAATAGCTCTGCACTGGCTGCAGTGGTTTCTTTCAGAGTCTCGTTTATCGGTGTGTGTGCAAACACATACAAGGAATTTGGTTCCGGTCGATGGTGTCTCTGAAGCACCACAGTGTAAAACACAACAACATGTAAACGGCACCAACAAAATAATAATTCTATACACATAAAAAACAGGATTACGGAAATGAATACCACAGAGTGTATAATGTACAATTATATCTAGCAATGTGAAGCAGTGTGACAGGTCAACTGTTTAGGAGGGAGACACCATACCAGACTATGATGGACAGACTCAATGACTGCAGTGTATTTACAAGCTTCCCTCTTCCGCTTTTTCATGGGTGGCACCTTGTACTTTTCACTCTCCTTTTTCCCCCTACCTCACGTTCACACACACATAATTCTGTCATAAACGGTAGTAACCAGACCAAAAAGCAGCATTTCTGTGCTTATTTTTCCTGAGCTGTGATACACTTTGAATTCTAGCCAATCATTTTACGTTTCGAGGATAGTAGGCGGGGCCAGGTACGTACGTTCTTTTAGAGCAGAGCTACAGATTAAAAATGCCCAAGGCGAAGCGGTCAAAGTCTGGCTGTACTTCACAGCAAAAGATGCAAACTCAGCAGCAACAAGTGCTTTAAGGTGATACTGTGATACTGTCAAAGGAGGTAACACCTCAAATCTGATGAAACACCTGGCGACACATAGCGTTTTTTTAAAAGCCTAGAAATGCGCCGTATTTGATAGCTTGCTGTGAGACCTCACACCGAGCACATCTACTGCGGGTGTGGTGCCTGTTATCAGCCTGTTATCGGACCCGGAGCAACATCCCCCAAGAACCCGAAGAGGAGAGTCCTGGCCCCTAGCCCTGCCAGTGTAGCAGAAATGATGAGGATGATGATGCAGCAGCAGCCGTTCTTCTCTGCGTGAGTAGCTTAATGTTGTTCGCGTGTAATTTACGTTGAGTAGGCTAACCACGTTATTACATTAATGCATGTAAGGTGAACTAGCAAACACCATCATAGCTACATGCGGCTGTCTTCTTGTTTGATGGCAGATGCTCCCTTCACCCTGGCCAAAAAGGCTAAAATGACCAAAGAAAAAGTGGGAAACAGCTGAACGTGAGAGGTTTAGGACAAAGTTTGTGTTTTCCATTCTTTAAGCACCGGTTTGAGCACCGTTTGAGCACCAGCACCGTTTCAAAAGTACCGGTTTGGTACTGGTATCGGATAAAACCTAAACGATACCCATCCCTAGCCATGAGGCTACATTCTTTAGCGCTATGCCTGTAAAACTCTGCTCATATTGCATCCATATTAAATCATTTTTTGAATAATTTTAAAAATGTTTCTTCACGTCAATATGTGAGCCGCAAGTGGGGATGACATGGACTGCAGGTGACCTGCAGGCCACAAGTTTGAGACCCCTGGCCTAAGGAAAGCATGTATAATGTAAACAGAATTGGTCCTAGCACTGAACCCTGTGGAACACCATAGTTGACCTTGTGTCTACAAGTCACTAGGGCTGGGCGATATGACCCAAAATTCATATCTCAATATTTTTTAGCTGGATGGCGATATAAGATATATATCTCGATATTTTTTTTAAAGCCATAAGTTAATAACAAAAAGAGAGTTCTTAGTCGCACTGTGTCCCAGATGTCACACGGGCACTTTTATTTACATACAGCGTAGATGTACATGAAGAAATTACTCAAAAATAAATTATCAGCATTTATTAAATAATCATGGTCCATAAATAAAAGAAAACAATGTTGTTTTTGTGCATAACAAAAAACTCACAATTGTGCAGTCAAAATGTAAACTAATAGACGCTGAGCAGAATAACAAAGAGACAGATTTCACAGCTGCACCACGTCTCTGAACAGGTGCCATTTGTGGTCCTTATACACACACAGTACGTATCACTCCGCGAGGCTCCTCCCCGGTAGCCGTAATCCTCTGACAATCCATCAAGCGGTGCAGCTCCGTAGCTTAGCAAAGTCATATTAGAACATTTTTGACAGATTGCTGAGCGCTGTGTTCCACATAAAATCGGTTCGCGGTCAGTAAGAACAACCAGAATTCATACATAAGGCGCACTGTCGAGTTTTGAGAAAATGAAAGGATTTTAGGCCGTGCAGCCCCTCCGGGCTGCATGTCGTTAGCGCGGTTAGCTCGTTAGCGCGGTTAGCTCGCTAACACGTTGACGCCGTCCAGCCCCACGCACGGGGCGATCCGCGGTAACTCGCTAACGGAGATTTTCCGCTTTCATCTTGTCATTGCCTGCAGGTGAAGCTATGGGGGAGGCGGAGTTGTGTTCAGTGAAGGAGAGGCGAGGCCGAGTAACGTTGCGTAAAGACAAAAGTGGACGAAAGAGAGGCAAACCTGCGGCTCCACAAGTATAATTATAACGTAACATAGACTATATCGATATAAACGATATTGTCATATCTTATATCTCGTATGAAAATATATCGATATTTTTAAAAAACTCGATATATCGCCCAGCCCTACAAGTCACCAATTTATCCAGACAAATATAACACGGACAGCACTGCCTTAAATCTAACAAGGTAGTACAGAGCTCTTAATGAAACATTAGAAAGCTTATCAGACCAAAATAACTGCACAACCTGGCTCAAAGGATGTGGCAAGGAAGAGAGAGACCACACAAAGGCTTAATATGCTATAAGATATTTTAATGGAACAAAGTAAAGAAACCTAAAAACAGATTAAGTGGTGCGACATCCATGGCTGAATGCACCATGTCAGGATAAGTTCTCGATCACCCAGGGAAGCATAAGGAGCGAAGAAGGAGACCTGGATGTTCAGTCAGAGTTTCTTTATAACACACTGGGGACTGGCCTACTAAGGTGTGCTGCATCTGAAACTGGGTCAGCTCCACCAACTAGACACCTGAAAGAGACAGGCGACAGGAAAGCAAGGCTAGCCCACTGGCTGTCGCAGTGAACAGGTAAAACCTCTGTTGGAGTCGCATTCAGGTAGCTGTACAGGGCGTTGACGATGACAACAGTGGGTAGATTATATCCTTAAACTCAGCTCTGCACTTTCAGAAAGACATTTACTGTGATGAAATCAGTGATGGGGGACATACAGGACAGTGAGGACCTGTTTGTTCTCCACCAGTTCTCTGCCACTATATCAGAGCTCTAGACTAACTTTTTGCCAGGGTTGCACCAGTGCGCCGAAATTTTTCAACCGCATCGCTTAACACCGCAGTTTTACATTTGCACTTTTTAGGGGGGGGAATTGAAGTCCATACAGACAATATTGATTTGTAAATTATTAACTAACAAACTTGTGCTTAAAGTGCTTTGTCAATATTGTAGAAAATGTTAAACTTAATCATCACATCGCCTTCTCTGACGACCTGTTTGCTGCGGTCTGCTGCTGAAAGGCAGTGGGGAGAGGGGACACTTGAGCAGTGCATTTATTGCAGCATATAATGTGTTTCCTGGATACACTGCTGCTTTTTCAGCATTCAAAGATTGATGGCACTGTGTCAGAGCTGGCTATGAATTTCAGACGGATCAGGCCTTAACAAAAAAGTTATCAATCCTTCTTTTCATCTTTTCTTATTACCCACAGCTACATCCACTCTCTCAGGCCTAGGCTGCTCACTAGGGCTGGGTATCATCACTGATTTCTATCATCCATTCGATTCCGGTTCTCAAAGTCCTGATTCGATTCAACTTAGCCTCAGACAGTCAGAAATATTATAATTCTGATCATTTATCAGTACTGATACATGTGATGTGATACATCACAGCAGATGCCTTTGTGTGAAAGTAACTGAGAATAAAACACAGAAAAATATGAAGGAGATTTTCCTGGTCTGGCTTTTTATAGCAGATAACCTTAAAAATATTCTACAATGTTCTGCAATTTTGCACAATTTTAAGAAGTTTACATTTCTTCAGTATTGAACAGCAGAAATTAGGCTTTCTTGGCCGAGGTCATTTAAGTGAAAAAAGAAAAAGACAGCAGCCACAGCGCTGTGAACAACGGTACACTGGTGGGTAATAAGCGAATGAATGATGCTGAAAACAGATTTGAGACGGGAAACTGTTCCTGAAGTACAGAGAGAGAGAGAGCTGTGCAGGAAGTGTGATTTTTATCATGGTGGAAGCAAAACAGCAAAAGTCAGAGGGAATTCATGACGACATTGATCAAATGTGAAGCGCAGTTTGTTGCTTCTTTTGCTGCTGGCTCGGTGGATTTTGGTTGGAGAGACAAAACCTCTGCAGCTCAGAATCAGCACAAAAAGACGTAATCACAGCGCGGACCGGACGCATCAGAACCGCTAAGCTCCGACAGCGTGTCCGTCTACGGGCCGTCGGGTGAGAAAGCCGAGAAAGACAAAGTTGATTCTGATGCGTCCACTCTGTGTTCACGTCTTTGTGTGGAATCCATTAATGAATCGATATCGCTTTATTCAAGCTACTCACCTCTCTCTTCCACCTGCACTTTCAACTGGACCACGGCCAATCAGAGAGGTCCCGCCCCTGACTATCTCTGATTGGTCTAGTCCACGATAGGGGCATAATGTGTGTCTGTTGTTGACCACACGGAGAGTTGCAGAGATTCTTTTTTTTGTTACCCGAACAGTTGGTCGCACAGGTGCAACCAAACGTTTATTTTAGTCGCACCACTGAAAAATTTGGTCGCATTTGCGACTAAATTGGTCGCACTCTAGAGGCCTGCACTGTAGCATCAGGGTCACCTGCAAGTGTTCCCAGGTGTGGATGAGGACGTTTCGTCTGATGAGGAAATGAAGTGAGCGTGTGATTCTCTCACCTCTGTCTTCTCTTAGTGGTTGGATGATGGCGGCGAGCTTTAGTCTGCCATAGATATTGTCATGTGACCATCAGAGCCCCTCTGAGGTCAGCTGGAATCAGACGATGGATGAAGAGGAACAGAGGCTGAGCAGATTACAGTACCTCCCCCTCCCCCTCACACCGATGACCTACTTCAGTATGAATCGAGGGGTGGGGGAGGGGCTAAGCACAAGAGGATTATAAAGATGACATTAGAGGAGGGAACGGGGGAGGGGCATGCTGTGCTCTGAGTAACCATCACCTCCCTCCACAGGGCTGATCCTGCTCTTCTACCTGATCTTCTACCTGTGTCTGGCGGGCATGTTCGCCTTCACCATGTATATCCTGCTGCTCACACTCGACGACTACAAGCCCACCTGGCAGGACCGGCTGGCCACTCCAGGTGAGGACACACCCACAACAGAGAGGGGCGCGGTTTATCAACAGAGGCTCATGAGGCTCAGCTGTGATTGATTAGCGCTGACCTGCTTCCTGTTTCAGGGATGATGATTCGCCCAAAGGGAAACCAGCTGGAGATCACCTTCTCCACCTCAGACACCGAGAGCTGGGACGGCTTCATCCACAATCTCAACTCCTTCCTGTCCCGTAAGAGCCCCGCCTCTTTAACCACTTATCAATATAACTGAAAGGTTACCTGCCCGATTACCTGTCACACCTGTGTCTGTACCTGTGTGTCTGCAGCGTACAACGACAGCTATCAGGTTCAGACCAACGATGAATGCACACCTGACGAGTACTTCATCCAAGAGGACAGCGGAGAGGTACGCCTGTCTGACCTACACCTGTCTGTTTGACCCACACCTGTCTGCCTCACCTACACCTGTCTGACCTGCTCTCTCTGCAGGTGAGGAACAATCCCAAACGTTCCTGTCAGTTCAATCGGACGATGTTGGAGGAGTGTTCGGGGGTTTTGGATCGTTTCTATGGTTACGACAAAGGACAGCCCTGCATCCTCATCAAACTGAACCGGGTATGACCTCTGACCCCCATGTTAAGCCCAGTTACACTCTAGTGTTACTGCAATGAAAATGATTTTGCCAGAGGAGGAAGTGCTTCCTGTCTGTAGGTTTCAGAAAGCGGCCAATCAAAAGAGACTTTTAACCTCAAACCCTCCAATGACATTCTCACGAGCTGTTCTTCTACCTGCTGCAGGTGATCGGGATGTTACCGGGGAAGGAAAGACAGTCTCCTTATGTCACCTGTGCAGCAAAGGTCTGTAAACCTGTCTGTCTGTAAACCTGTCTGTCTGTCTGTGAACCTGTCTTCATCTCACCTGTGTCGTCTCCATCCTCAGAGGTACAGAGTGGGTGAAAATGAGTGGGTAAGACCAGCAGACGAGGAAGTAGATCATGATAGAGTCCCTTAGTGCCTCCATCACAGAATCACAGCAGAGTTACGTGTTAGTAACCTCCAGTTACAGGTTATTGAAGCGTATTGATGACCAATCAGAAGTATTGATCAGTGTGTTTGTGTGCAGAGGGAGGACAGCGACAAGATCGGACCTCTGGCTTATTATCCTCCTAATGGGACCTTCAACCTCATGTACTACCCGTACTACGGCAAGAAGGCCCAGGTACTCGCTCAGTATTCACTCAGTGCACACTCATGTACATGTTCAGTACACTCAGAGTACTGTACTAATACTGACATGCGATGTGTTTACTGTCTCAGGTGAACTACACTCAGCCTCTAGTGGCCGTGAAGTTCCTGAACGCCTCTCTGAACACAGACATCAACGTGGAGTGTAAAGTGACCTCCAACACGCTCGCCGCCGGCAGTGACAGGGACAAGTTCGCCGGACGCGTCTCCTTCAAACTCCGAATCAACGACAAATAGACACACACACTGACACAGACACACACGCACACACAAACACACACAAACACGTGAAAGCTGCACTCATCCAGATGTTTCCACTTCCTGTCACAGCCTCACACTGACCAGCTGTATTTTATATTTCCATGTTGTGTTCACTGACCATGATGACGATGCGTTCACTGACCAGGGTCATGATGCGTTTACTGACCATAATCATGATGCATTCAGTGACCATGATGATGACGATGCGTTCACTGACCAGGGTCATGATGCATTCACTGACCAGGGTCATGATGCGTTTACTGACCATAATCATGATGCATTCACTGACCATGATGACGATGCGTTCACTGACCAGGGTCATGATGCATTCACTGACCAGGGTCATGATGCGTTTACTGACCATAATCATGATGCATTCACTGACCATGATGACGATGCGTTCACTGACCAGGGTCATGATGCATTCACTGACCAGGGTCATGATGCGTTTACTGACCATAATCATGATGCATTCACTGACCATGATGACGATGCGTTCACTGACCAGGGTCATGATGCATTCACTGACCAGGGTCATGATGCGTTTACTGACCATAATCATGATGCATTCACTGACCATGATCGCGATGCGTTCACTGACTGTTTAAAGTGTCTGTTTCTCAGTGGATTCCCTGGTAGTTGTAAACACACAGTTTCTTTCTCTGATAGGACCCCTCGGTGCAGCTTTAACTCAGACATACCCACCCTCAAACCGACCAATCCGCACGCACACATAGTCTGATGTCACTGCCACTGGAGGCCGGTGACAGGCCAGTGTTCACCTCCATGGTGGATCAGTCTGCATGAATCAAAGAGAGAATTATTGATCCCTTAATGTACACTTTATTGATTGTTTATTTATTTGTTTGTTTACGACGTGTTTGTTTACACTGACATTCTTTAACTAAAGTCAGAGATGAGACATGTGAACACAGAAACACTCTGACATCGACCAACCACAGTAATTAATGACCTCATAGTCAGGTGACTGATCAATCAGCCAGTCTGGAGTCAGTTCTCAATTCTCTGATAATGAACCACATCTTCTACATCATTCCCAGTCCAGAAACCACAAACCAGTTCACTAACTGGTTTGTCTTATCGGCCATGATAAATGTCTCCTCGTTTGTTGCCACGGAAACAGCTGAACTCACAGCCAATCGGAAGCTAGCTTTAGTTTCCATTCCCGCAGCTTTAGTGTGATGATGTCACCTCGTTTCTTCTTTTCCTTTTTGTGTGGCTGCAGCTGATTGGCTCCTTAGTTAGAAAATCAATTAGTGCTCACCTGGGTGAGTTAGGTTAGTTAGTTAACGAGGTAGGAAGTCGTTAATGTTTGCTTTTGTTTGTTATTTATTTGTTTGTATGTGTGTTTCTGTTTCCACCATGGGGCTGAGCATGACAACACACACACACACACACACAGTCAGTGTCCTCAGCTCCGTCGGGGAAACACCCCCATTTACCTGTACTCCTGTCCACCAATTGTCTTCCTTTAAAGAAAGGGCCTGGCCAATCAGAGGTTCCCGCTGTATGATGTCATCTACTGCTACCTGCTTGTAACTGGTTGATTTCTCCTGCCTGAAAATGTCCTTGTGTTCAAACAGCGAATAAAAAAAAGCAAGAAATTAAACAACAAAAAACTACTTATGTGTATTTCATTGGGGGGGGCGGGGGGTCTCCTGGATGCAGTGAACACATCACTGCATCACCTGTGCAGTGATGTGTTCCTGAGGATGTTGTCATGGAGACGAGCATCTTCCCGGAGGATGGGTGAGTTTTCTGTCAGTGCTGAGACTGTTTCATGTGTTTTACATAAGAGCCTCAGTTATATAAGAGCACGAGTTATAGACAGGGGTGAGCCGTGAGCCCTCTGCTGGTCACAGCCATGCATTACAACCAGACGGCCCATAATAACTACATGTCACTGTGACCAACACTGCCACCTGCTGACAACCCTGCAGTACTGCGTCTTCACAAACAACAAACACTTTGATATATCCATGGTTACCATGACTGTGTGGCCCAAAACCTGAAGTTGACAGGGTAACCACACATCCTGTAGTCAAACAGGTTACATGAACAGCTACTTGTAGTGGGTTATTAAAGGTGAGCCACAATTTGCTCACAGAGTCAGATCACAAAACAAGTTTGGCAGTCGAGCGATGATGCAAAGATACTCAGTAAACAAAACTATTTTAACAATCTCCATGGAGACGGGGACAGTGACGACTAGGGAGGGAAGGTCCATTTCCACGACATCAGGACAGCTACAGTATCTGAAGCTTGGATCAAACACAGAATAACTCATCGAGCCATTATCAACGAAACAACCTGGTCATTTGCGAACAGTTTATTAAGTTCAACTTCACAAATCCAATAATTTTGACTGCCTTCTTTTCTGTTCGAATTTCTAAAACTACACGTACCATCTGTCTAGCTCTTGAATAAACCTTAAATACCTGCAGGACTCTGTTAAGGTCTAGCTCCATGCTGGGATGTTTCCTGGAGTCTGTGGAGGTGGTTGGTGAGAGGAGGATGTTAGTAAAGCTGACATCCATCATGAACAACCCACATCACCCACTGCATGAGTCTGTGAGTGGGCTGAGCAGCTCCTTTAGTCAGAGACTGAAACACCCTCGCTGCAGGAAGGAGCGCTTTCCCAGATCATTCATCCCAACAGCAGTTAGACTCTATAACTCCTCAATCACGATGTCATAAGTCACTCGACACTGAACATCCACAGTCACCACTTCATGCATAATGGACCTTCATGTGTACGGACATGTGCAGGTATATGTCTGTATATGTATACATGTGTATGTGTGTACATGTCTATACATAGGAATAGTAGTGGTACAATAGTTATGTTAAGCTATATAGTTTATGTCCTGCATATTTCCAACCATATCCATAATCACATACTGTGTATGTATCTTATCTTATATCAATCACTCAAACTGTACCTGTAATACAAATAAAAGTACAGGTAGTGGAACTCCTGGTTGCTATTACAAAAGTAATATAGAGAGAAACATGTTGATTCTGCATTTGGGACTGAACATTAATCATGCTTCTGGTATTAAAGGTATTAATATTAATGAGATTAATGGGATTACATAGCTTTAACTCAAATGACAGATGACTGTTTAAGAAGTACAGGTGGTTGGAGTGGTACTGATGGATGTAACTGATGACAATTTATTGTTAAAAACCATTTTAGAATCTGATGGTTTAATCAGTTTGCATGGTTATGGACGAGGAGTTATGGATGACTTTTGTTCCCTGTGTCTCCTTTGTTAGATCACAGGTGTTGAACTCCAGGCCTCCAGGGCTGGTGTCCTGCAGGTTTTAGACGTGTCCTTGATCCATCAACATGTCTTGAAGTTCTCCAAAGGCCTGGTAATGAACTAATCATTTGATTCAGGTGTGTAGAGAGCGTGAGATCTAAAACCTGCAGGACACCGGGCCTCCAGGCCCTGAGTTAGATTATGTTCAGCTGTGTTCCCTCCTATGTTTTGGTCCCTCGTTTGCCCTCCTGTGTATTTATTTCTTCGCCTCCCTCGTTGTTGTTTTTCCCTGTATGTTTAGTTTACATTCCTGTATGCAGTATCTCCAGCACTCGGGCAGTAAGGCTGTTTTTGAGTTCAAGTCCTGTCTGCGAGTCTGCATAGGGTCCAATCTTGCCTGCTTCACAGCCAGTTCATGACAATATCAATGGCCTTTTTACCTGGATAAATAAAGGATTAATAACCTAACACTGAGGAAGGGTTAATATAGTCTTAGATTCTCAGGTGCAATCAGTAGTTAAATGGATATTACACATATTTTGAATGTGTCTCACCCTCATAAAACATTTGGTTCCAATTACACTGTGAATCTAGTTTTAAAGGTTTCTATTGAACGTGTGTTTGTTGGTCCACGAGACCAGGCTGTAATCTTACACAGTAAATTATCCTGGACAGAACATGTTATTATGATTACTACTAGAACGTACAATGATGTTGATGTGCGAAGGTTTTGACCCAAATGATATTTTAAGGTAAAGATCCAAAGAAAACAGACTAAAAACACAGGAAGAAACCTGCAGCAGAACCAGGCTCATGGAGGGGCGGGGCCATAGTGAGCAGATGGTGGTTCCCAGTTTGTGACTGTTGGTGTCACACCACATGTAACACTGGGGCTCTCACTTGGTGTTGGCTCTCTCTGCGTTAGAGTGTCCCTTCCTGTTCCTGTTACAACACACAGTGGTGTTTTTGTGTAGCTTGCCTGCATTGCAATTTAATTAAAAACTTATAGAGAACTTCTTATTTCATATCCTCACGTGCTTCATCCAACGCAAACCTGCTGTTTACTCACTTGATCTTACTTTATCTTTATCGTTAATTATATTTAGCTTAGCTTAGCTTTTAGCTGACATGTAGGATATTTGTAGCTCTGGGGGCCAGGATCACTGAACCGGAGACTCGGTGTTGCAGGCCTAAAAACCTGATAGCCAGGCCTGTGTAGCCCGTGCAGCCGAAGGTAGCATAGGCCCTGTTAGCTGTCCCCCAACAGACTGTCCCGAACAGCCGGCGAAACAGGGCAGCTGGTGACAGTGAGGAGCAAACATAGTCTTAAAGAGAAGCCCCTGGTACACCACCAATTATTAGCAAGTCCAGCATAGTACTGAGTCGTGCTCTGGACATGAAGACAGCAGCAGCAGCTTTTTTTTTTAACTTGGGCTGAGCTGAGCTGATCTTATCAGCAGTTTCTCTTCTGCCTTCAATAGATCTTAGCTACAGAAGAAGACACAAACTGTACAGACCACAACTTCATCTTTTTGGGGTATTTTTGTTTTTTTGCAGATGTGTGAAACAGCCAGAGAGCATCAGCCTGTCAGTGATGAAGTGTTTCATCCACTGACAGATCAGTAGCTCTGGAGCGCCATCAGCTGGATTGAAAGGGTTAACCAGAGCTGGATGAGTGTGTGTGGATGGCTGCAGAGTCAGCGTGTCCTCTCTGAGCTTCATGGAGCTGTGAGAGGGACAGCTGGGACACTTTAGGAAGGACCTCTGTGAGCCGGACACACAGCTGACGTGACAACAGGAAGTGATGAAACCGGAGCCCGAGGCATCTCTCTGCTGCTAAGAACGCACGCCTTCAGTTGAAATCCAGACACCATGAAGACGGCTCCTCTGCTCCTCCTCCTCGATGAGTCCTTCACTCAGTTATTGGATCAGAGTGTGAGACGAAACACAGCTGACCTCTGAGCAGGTCCTGTTGGAGGGTTTCAGTGGTCACTTTGTGTTACAGCACAGCTGACAGTAAACAGTCCTTCATGTGCTCTGACTCCATGGATGGAAACAGATTCTGTGACGTGAAGATCATGTGAGTCGTTGGCTGACGTCTGTGTGTGTTTCACACAGTGCCGAGGCTTTCATCCTCCTTAATGAGCACAGTCTCCTTCCAATCCAACAACCTATTCAGAAGTGTGTCCCACTGAGGTGATCGGCCTCCCCTCCCCTTCGTTCCAGGACTACTCTGAAAGTGGTCACGTACAAGGACTCACATAGAAATGAGAGAAAGATCCATGGAGCATGTCCAAAGTAAAACCTGGAAAGATGATCATAAACAGAACTGTTGTTCAAGAACACTTTAAAAAACGATACAAAAGTCTTGCTTCATGATAAAAAACTATAAAAAATACGAGGGGTGGCTTTTGCACAATGCTGAAAATAAATAAATTAGTAACTGACATGAATTAACATCAGCTAATCATTGAATCCTCCCTTAGTTATGCTGCAATAGGTGTAGGCTGCTGGGGGATTCCCATGATGCACTGGGTGTTTCTTCTTCACTCACTATGTGTTAACAGACCTCTCTGCATTGAATCATATCTGTTATTAACCTCTGTCTCTCTTCCACAGCATGTCTTTATCCTGTCTTCCTTCTCTCACCCCAACCAGTCGCAGCAGATGGCCCCGCCCCTCCCTGAGCCTGGTTCTGCCGGAGCTTTCTTCCTGTTAAAAGGGAGTTTTTCCTTCCCACTGTCGCCAAAGTGCTGCTCATATGATTGTTGGGTTTTTCTCTGTATCTATTATTGTAGGAGCTACTGTACAATATAAAGGTCCTTGAGGTGACTGTTGTTGTGATTTGGCGCTGTGTAAATAAAACTGAACAGATTTTATTTGATTAACATCTAATTACAGACAAAAGACTCGTCTATTGAGCCTATACTGTATAACAAGGTTATTGTCGTAGAACTTGTAACGTTGGGTTGTGTTCAGTGGTTGAGAGGAGGCGGTAGAAACCAGGATAGTAGGAAGAATACACGATCACACTGGTACTGAGAACTTCCCAGTTGAACGACTGCTGCTTATCAAACATGACACACAGTGTTCATGCAAAAGTTTCTGGAGGGGTAAAACATATAAAGTCCGTCTCTCTCCATGCACTTGTATGCAAGCACATTGTTCCCGTAATCACATAGAGGGCAGTGGTGCATACTAGTGGCATCATAAACCCTTGACTTAGGTTGCATTAAAGAGACACCACACCACTGTGACTGTTACAAACTGCTTAACCAAACTTTTGGTTGTTCAGGAAACAGTTTGCCAGTCACAGGTTTTAACTTGTTCCGTGACGTAAATTGTACAAAGTAAGA